ATGAAACAATAACACACTTCAAATACAGTACAAAGTAACAAAACCAGCCCTTCAAAGTTAAATCAACCCAAAAATAAAACGATTGAGATTCTTATAAGACTTTCCAATTATATAGACCTTCATTGCAGTACAAATACCAAACTAATTAATTTTATCTAATATCCTTGAAAAGTAGTTAAAACAGTGTTGTTTGTTTCACAAACTAAACCAAGGAGAGGTTAAGTACCTTGCCCTAGCTCCGTATCTGAGTGCCACATGAGCTGTAAAACTCCCTATTGTACTTCTAAACAACATCCATTAATTCACGAAGCAAAACTCTCTGAGAGGTTAAGAAAACTGCTTTCTGACTCTTTTTGTGTAAAAAAAGTCAGGTGCTACTCACCTTGGTGATATGGCAGAAGGGTGTTTCTCTTCTGTTCCAGAGAAATGTATCCAAGATCCCAATCCAGCATAAAGATATTTAGGATTGATATATTTGGATCAATGAAATTTGTCCAATATTAGGTGAAAAACCTCACATTGTAGTGAATTACATGACTTCAGGTTCCATAAACCATATCCTGCACTCAAAACAACACATACAGCAGCAGAGGGGTCAGGTCAGAAACCACAACAGTCCCCACGCTCCAAGGGAACCCCAAAGGGACAAGTAAGTGCTGTGGCCAGTGAGAAGTGAACTTCACAGCCTCACTCACTTTCACACAGCTTGCCCTTGCTGGGATCCAGTCGAGTCAGGTTAAGGTTGGTATGGGTACATCTACAACAGCTCGCTTGTGCTTCTGCCTTCCACAAAAAACTTATTCTAGAGAACCCACATCATCAGCACCTTGAAGTGCTTAGACTTTTTTGTCAGACCTACACTGCCAGATTAATTTGTGCAATTGTTATTTGTTCCTTGGCTTGACCCTCTGAAATCCAGTGCCTCCCTGGCCAGTGTCTGTTGGTGCCCTGGAGTCCAAATGGGCTCAAAACCTTCCAAGTTTATGCTCACAACAAACAAGGGTGATGAAAACTCTTCCACCCATGAGATTAAAGTTGAAAATACCTCCTTCATTCTTCACAGGAAGCCTGTGGCAAGAATGGGAACGGAGTACAGATCTTCCAAGCTTCAATCTGGATTTTTGAACAGGTCTTACTTCCTCCCTGAGTACTCACTGTGTGTTAATGCTTTAGAAATGCCTTTTTTAGAGAGCAGACAAAGAAACTTGTTCATTGGTTGCTGATGCTTAAAACCACAGACATTTCTTTCTGATTCTATGGTCAGAATTTTCATCAAAATGCAAACCCCAGAGAAGCAAGGACATTGTAAATTGTGCCACGAAAATATTCACATTAAAGCTCAGGGCTTGATTAAAGAGTTATGTACTTCTCTAAAATAAGAAAATTTAAAAACATCTGGGCAGACTTGCTGAGATCTTATACAGCAGAGTATGTGGAAAAAATCATCTGTAAACCTTTTAATGTTCATTTGAATATAATTATTTCAAAGGATTGATAAAAAGTGTATTTTAAGTTAGCAACAAATTAAAAGTTTAGGAAAGAAAACTCAGAGGCTACTTTATTGTCTTTACATCTCTCTTTAAAATCACACTAATTTTCCTTTCCAACACTATTTTATTGCATTAAAATATAACCATGCTAGAAAAATTTCTCATTATGTTAGCAAAAATGAATGCAAGGTAGATAGTATACTAACACAATGACTGTAATCTGCTAATACAATAAGGCCTTCCTATTATGTTTAAGGAAGAATCCAGTTCTTGATCATTTTGACACAGTTTGAAAACACCGTTTCAAAAGGATAGAATGTGGCATATTTTCTGCTTAAGAAAGTTTCTTATGTCCTCATTTACTGCTAAAAAACCAGATAATAGTGAAAAATTTATGTTGGAGTAGATTTCATTTCTGCACTAGGAAATTGTGTATATTTTGTGGAAACAAGCATGTACAGGAGTGTTTGTGATTAGCTAAACATGTTTTCAAACCTATATTCAAGGAACTAGCACAGGCCTTCAGTATGTTCTATAACTGGCCTAAAAATGTGAATTACACAGTGAGAACCTGCCGTGGGGACCTGGCACATACACAGCCATCAGCTTTTCTGGGATCTGACAACTCTGACCGTCTCTGTGACTGGTACCCATTAAGAGAGTTTCAAAAAGAAATCTGAAAAAATACACCATCAGAACTGGGACTCCTGGTAGTATCTGTAAATATCCAACAGCAGGTAGAGGAAGAGATAAAGAGAAAATTGCCTAGAACTTGACAAATCATAGAGTTTAATTGCAGTAGTCCTTCCTTCTAAAGTTCAAGTCATTTTTAATAACAGCATCAGAAATAGCTAAGCTGTAATTACTGTGTTGTGCCAGTTTGATGTTCCACAGGAATCTCAGAGGCATGACTCGTTTCATTCATGAGAGTTGTTGTTTGGCAGGTCTCCAGGACAGGAATTCAAGTGAGAAAGGAAATTAGATCAGTTGACCAAAAGGAAATAAATCAGATTATTTGAATATTTGCTCAATGGGGAACAGTAAATTGCCATCAGAAGAATTCGACACTGAATCCAGTGTTGGCCACAATAGCAACGCTCACATATTTGATGTAAGGACATCAGGATTGGTCACAAGGCTGTGCCTTGTATTTTCTTCTGCAGATAAAAAGACTTTATATATTATTTCAACATAAAAACCCAGCAGTATGTTGCAAATTCTGATAAGTAGCAAATAATCTCTTTCGTTGTTTCATCAAGCATTGACTTTGTGAATATAAATACTTCTGGACTGATGAAAGTCCAGCAGCACCATTTTTGACCTCTTGTCACCATTTTTCCTATGGAAGAACCTGTGAGAAGTCAGAATTTTTTAGTGGGAGGACTGGAGATTACCATGAAAATGTGGCTTTTAAAATGACAAGTACATTTAATTTTTAATTATAAATGCAATTAATGTGGATATTTGAGTACTTCATTTGTGTGCACTACCAGTGCCATGCTTGCTACAAATTGGTTGTGGATACTAAATAAGGAGCACGATGTTTGGATACAGATTAAGTAATGAAATTAAATATGCCTTCTGAAAATGCATCCCTACCAAATATATAAATTTACAGGTCATAAAAGTATCACACACCTTTTAATTTTTTTGAGTGTGTTCAAATTTGGTCACATTAAGAAAATATCATGGAGCTTAATGGTCTAACAACTCATTAGAACAAATGGCAGTGAATATCCAGTATCAATACAGTTATTAATTACCAGTTATCTGTGTACCAAATACAACCAATTATTCAATGTAAATAAAATAACTCTCTTAAAAATTGATTTCCCAGATGAGAGGAAAATCTAGTTAGCAAGCTGAGTGTGAAATTTACATGTAGTTCATGAAAAAATGATTACTTACGGAATTAATTGATTTTAGAAATGAATCTGAGGATGTAAAACTATGGCATAAAAAGGAAAGCAATCTGAAGATCTGGTTTATGTCCATGAGAAAGGCATTTAATTTTTCCTTCCAGCCAATCCCAGAAGCTGGGATCAACCAAGAAATCCCTACTCAAAGCCATAATCCCAATTATCCATCTTCATAACACTTGCCCTTTTCTCATTCCCCTCTTGCTTGTCCACAACTGGGTCATGTTGTGCTTTGGGGTCAGCAACTCCTTTCTCAAAAGTCTCATTATAATACTGAGATACAATTTTCAACCTGTCAAATTGTCACTCAAAAGTACATCTTCTCACAAATTATTTGGAAGATGGGAACCTCCTGTCCTTCAGACACATTTCAGTGCTAGTGATGTCAGCCTTGTCCCTTCATCTTTTCCCTGTGCCTCCCTTCCTATTGCTCCTTCTGTGCAAGATGTTCTTGCTGAATCAAATTCAAGCTGCTCCTAAATACTTGTGCCGCACCTGTGAAAGCTGAAAGGACAAGGTGCAACAGAATCTTCCAGAGAAACAAGTCCTTTGCTCTGCACAGACTTTGCATTTTTGTGTTTTTCTCTTTACCACATTAATCCAAGGCACTATTGGGAACTTTGGAAGGATTTTTCAATTCTTGAAGATTATGACCCTCATCATTCTGTCCCAGCTTAAACATTTTGCTGTGGCTTAACTACAAGGCTTACTGTTGGAAGAGATTTCATATTCCTTTATGGCAGCAAGGATTGCTGTACAACTTGATGCTTGTCCTTCTTCTGAAAGAAGCTCAAGTCTGATGAGCAGCAGCTGAGGGAGCTGGGGGTGTTTATTCTGGAGAAATAGAGATTGAAAGGGTAACCTTATTGCTCTCTTCAACTCGCTGGCAGGACTTTGGAGCCAATCTGGTGTCAGGCTCTGCTCCCAGGGAATAAAAGATATGATGGGAAGATATGATGGCCTTCTGCTGCATCAACTGTCATTAATAATTACATTGTCATTAATAATGTTATTGCCGGACATTAGGAGTAATTGTTACACTGAAAGAATGACTAAACATTGGAATGGGCTGTCCAGGAAGGCGGCGGAGTCACCGGCCCTGGCCGTGCTCAAGGAAACGCTGCACACAGCACCCGGCGTCATGGCCTGGCCGACACAGCAGCATTGGGTCGTAAGTTGGACTGGGTGATCTCGAAGGCGTTTTCCAACCTAAATGACTCTGAGACTCCGAAAGCTGCTAGCCGGCACACGCGGCCCCCTCAGCCCCCCTCAGGCCCCCACATCCCCGCTCGGCCCCCTCAGGCCCCCACATCCCCGCTCGGCCCCCTCAGCTCCCCCGAGCGCCGCCAGCCGCGCCCGCCTCGCCCCGGGACACCCCGGCCCCGCCCCGCTGCCATGGCGACCGGCGCGCCCGCTGATTGGCTGCGCCGCCCCGCCCAATCCGCGCGCGGGGTGTTCCGGCGGTGCCAAGATGGCGGCCAGGTAAACACGGCCGCGGGCGGCGGGCGCGGGGCCGGGAGGGCTCTGAGGGGGCTCCGAGGGGGCTCCGGCAGCGCCGCCGGCCGTGCGGGGACTGGCGGGAAGGTGAGAGCCGGCTGCCTTCCCCTAGGCTGGCGTGGAGCTGGGTTTCTCTTCGCGTCGCTGCCTCCGGAGCGGGCCCCCCTCGTTTCCCCGGCCTGCCGCCTCCCCGGAGCGGCTGTTCCCTGTTCCGGCGGCCAAGGGAGCTGCGTGTGCTCCTCAGGGAAATTGCCCCTGCGGAGGCACGGGACGCGTTTGCTACAGTGTCGCCCCTAAACTGAAAGGAGGTGCTAGCAAACGCATAGGGACACAACTTAAAAGAACAAGGAGTGGGGGGGGAAAAGCCAGTATTCTCAGCCTCTGTAATCAAGTTGTCTTCTTTCTGAAATAGTAAGTATTAGGACCTTTATAACGTGCTTGTCAAAAACGTGTAATTATAGTTATGTAAGAAGCAAAAATATTTCTGATGACGTGTTTTGCCTTATCTGTTTCTCTCTTCTGCAGGTTGTTTTTGTGTTGGGATGGGTAATCTGGTGTCTTTGCAGTGACTTGAAATAGTTTGGACTTACTCAGACTGGAAGATGTGGAGTGGGCTGTTACCTCCAGGACTGAATGAAAGTGATGTTGATCTGAGTTCTGATGATGGAGACGAATCGCCTGATTCCTGTTCAAAGCAAGAAGCAGAAGAAGATACTGAAAGAGTTCAGGGGACTGGGCAGGAAAGTAATACCAGCAGTGAACCTATTGTACCAGTGACAGATGAAGACAGTGAATCTCAAACGTGCCCTCCTGGAGTTTCTGTAAATATCTGGAATGTATGTATCACTACAGGTCTCCAGATGAATATAATTCAGTGTACTCAAATGGCTGATTTTTAGCTTAAAATAATTCAGTGTTGGATAGTCAATATACAGATCTGAAATTAGATATAATATGATCTGAGTATACAAACCTTAAATAGTCTAAAGCAAGGTGAACAGGAAGGAAATGATTAGGTGGTAGTTTGGTGGTGATTGAAAGCACAGCAAGAAGTTGTCATAACTATACAGTTGCATAGAACTTGTGTTTTCAATGGTTTGTGGGCTCTGAGCTGCTTGGTAGGGGCTTTCTGCATTGTTAAGGATTTACAGCTCAGTGTTTCAGCCTCTCTGGGGGATACCTGGGAAGGGGAGGTGTGCCCTGTTGCTTGCTGCAGGGCTTAATTGCAAACAATCAGACTCAAGAGTTCCTTATAGCCTCCTGATTTTGCAATTACATGTAAAGACTGGGGAAAGCAGAAAACCCTTATCAAAACAATGTGTTCCAGGCTTTGGATTCAAAGTAAGAATTGGCAAAAAATAGTTGCCCTCTTTCATCCCTCAATCCTTGTAGGCAGCCTGCTGTGCGAGGACCAGGCTGTCACTAATTTGTGGATTACAGACTGCCAGCTGGGCAATAGAAGTACATGGTGTAGCTCAGGAGTGCACAACAAGCAAAAGTGTGTTCTGTCTCACATCCCATAAGAGAACTGTCAGATCTGAACAGTCATGGGATGTAGGGAGGGCAGAAAGTCAGAGAGAGGTGATCAAAGATTAGCACCAATACCAGTTTAACACCATCAGAGTCGCGTGGTCTTGATTTATAAATTGGGATATAATAAGTGACACAAGGCATTGTGGATAATTAAACATTTCTCTATGTAATTTCTTAAAAATGGGGGAAAAATTAAAAATATTGACTTGCTTTTTCATAATCTTGTAGAAATTTGTGGAGCTTCAGAAGAAACACCGTGAAATGAAAATGCAAGTAAAAGAGGAAAACAGATGCCGGAAAAGAAAGCGCCGCCGAAAAGGTGGGGTTTTTTTTAGATTAACAGAATTCATATTTTTCAAATTGAATTAGTATCAATACATGCTGTTTTGTAGGGTTGGTGTTTTTGGTTTTTGAGGGCTGGTTTTTTTTAAGTTAATAATTGTATTCTAGCTGTTATCTAGGATTGTATTTTTCCACTTGCATACATCACTTGCAGGGTTGTAGTGAGGTTGTTGATTGCTACATAGAATGCAAGTAATATATTTGTCCTCTTCTTAAAAAGGAGGCAGAGCTTACTCAGTTAATACTGATTTATAATGGTGAAGTGTATTACAGTAGTTCCATGAAACTTAATTTTGTACATTTGGTTAAAACTTCCCAGGTATTGCGGGAATTTCTTACAGCTAAGTGGTTTAAATCCACATGAACGTTGGGTAAAAATCCCAGTATGTTGATCTTTCAAAGGAAATGTGACCAATTACAGCTCTGTTAACTTCATTGGATGCTGTGGGGTATCACTGTGTAATGTTGGATTTTTTTTCTTTTTTCTTCCCCTTAGCAAAACAGAGAAAGACCGATGAAGTGGCTAAGAGGTATAACCAGGTCAATGGGATTACCTGAGGTCTGTTAGTAGCAGGGAAAACTAGTAATAAGCTCAACCACATTCATAGCCAAAGCCTAGCTTTCAACACTGTGTAAAATATCTTTTAAATTTGTTCTGTGTCTCTGTTGGGCAGGCTGAATTTTTACTAGTGATTGCTTGTTGTAGTGTTATTGCTTGATTTTAAAAATCACCACAAATATGTTATTTAATGTAACTTTTAACAGACTTGCTATGTTCTTGCTTGTTCCTTCATACAAGTTGTTGTTCACCCTGCTCCTTCAATTCTTTTTCCTCCTTGGCAGTGTTAGGTTTATGGTTAGACTCGATCTTAAAAGAACTTTTTCAACCTAAATATGGTGTTATGATTCTATCAGCTTGCTTTTAAGATTGTGAAATTGCACATACAAAGGGGAAGGAATAATTTATCTTAATTTAAAAACTGAATGGGTGAAAAGGCCATGTCTACCAAATGGAACTGTTTATTTTAGCTTTGAAAGGTTGTGGAAGGGGAAGTGGTTATAGTAATGACTTGTTTGTGTGTTTGTTTTTAGTAGTCAGCAGTTGGAAAACGAAGACAAATGGAAAGAACTTACACAATATTTTGGAATCAATGATAGATTTGAATCACCTTTGAACAGCAGGGCTCCACAAAAGGTGACTGTTATTACAAAGGCAGTGTCATCTTGTATGTGGCAGTAAAAGAGCTTGTCCTTGACTGAGATAGGAATGAAACAGATGCTATTTGAGAGTAGAGCATACAATCACTCTGAGGAAGGATGATTTTGTGAACTTTTTAAATAAATGTCCTTAAATGGTTGCTGTGCTTTCTCTTAAGACCATATCCAGGCTTGTTTCCTGTCTGGTTTTGTTTTCTCCTGTTGTGAGAGAGAGAACACATCATATGCATTGTTTAACTTTTCCTTTTGTTTTGCTTCATCGTTTTTTAACTTTAAAATGTGTCACATAAACCTTCAGTTGTCACCAGTAGCTACAAGAATTAAAGCAGCAAACCTAGCATACATTTTTACTGGATTCATAACACATTATATTCATAAATATTACAGTGTAACTAGTCATATCTGAAATAATTGGCAAACATGATGGATAAGTTAAGAATCTCACTATACTGTGAGTTTCTGGTAGGGCTGTTGGTTCTGTAGTATCTCTTACAAAGCTCTTTGTAAGTTCTGTTACATGAAATGTTCAGTTAGCTCCCTTTAGGATAATTTCTGTGTTTTTTCATTTTCTTAGAGTTTCTATGTGCAGGTCATGAAGATTTGTTTGCTTCTTACTTTTGGTGGCTATTTAGTTGTCATTAAAGTGCTCAGGATAGATCTGGAATGAGGCCCAAAGTGTTAAAATGCAGATGGTTTCATTGTAATTTCGGGGATATTATCACTAGTGGAAGATATGTCTTGTTATTTTCAAAAAAGGCATCTTAACAGAATTTACCATCAATGCAACTACCAACTGTGCCTTTTTTTTTCATCTACCCCCTGAAGTAATTCAAATGTAGTGTTTGCAGATCACTGTTTCTCAAGAATTCCATTAGCTTTTTCACTTTTTATCTCTTAAAAAAGCGTATGTTATGGAACTGTCAAATGTATTTTCTTCAGCTTCACTAATATTTAAAACCAGTGAGGCTGTAAATTCTTTTGTTATGAGACTGAGGTTTTTTTGTGAAATTCTGAAGTCAGTGCTACCCTTCTGTATTCCATCAGAAGTTTACAACTATGATTTCCAGGAAATAGTTACTTTTTATTGTTATGCTATTTGTAAGTGTTGCCATTAAACAACTTATGTTTACCTCTGAAAATAAGAAAACAGCCTTAAAATCCTGAAGCTTTTTTGTTGTTTTCCACAGAGCTGCTAGAATTTTTAATTTATTAACACAGTGGAGTGGCTTTGTGCCAGAACTCTGTTTTTTGGGTAAAGATAAGATCTTAGAGCTGTAACGATACAGTAGTAATTGCTATTCTTCATGTTACCTGACACATATATTTCACATTTTGTTTAGAAAGCTCCAGGGATGGAAGAGATAAGCCAGATCTTCAGATGAAATTTTATTGTGACAGGCATAAACTAGCCCGTGTAATTTTTTTAACCTATAGTATTATCCTGCACATAAGGTGGAACTAATGCAATGATTTGTGCTCAGGTGGCCTCTCAGTGAATTCTTAATTATACTGTCCATTACAATACACAGACAGAGTGATTTGTGGTACACAGAAATTACAGGTTTATGCAGTGTCTTAAAGAATTTTAGGAAAGAAATAATTTTATAAAGGAGGTATTCCCTTTAAATATGTTCTTTCTGTTCTAAAGGCATTTACCTTTTTTTATTTTCCATAGTCTGGCCTTGAACTGAGCATAGAGAAGTGTGTGGCTGAAGGTGACATTACCAGGGCTGAGGAGCTGAGTGACAGATTAGCCATTCGTGAGGTAAGTGAGCTGTTTACAAAAACTCTGAAAAGTCATTTAGTTTTGCACATCTGGACTAAAACTGTCATGAGTAAAACAGCATTAAAGATTGTTTGCAGCATCTTTCCTGTTTCCTGAGCAGATTCCTGTCAGTGACTGAAGGACTTTGCTGCTGATTTAGCAATGCTTGGACAGCTGTAGCTGTGTTTAAGAATTGAAAATACAGCCATGAACTGTCCCAAGTAACCTTGCTTTAGAGCCTTGCTGCTCACTCCACAACTCAGAGGAGTTGGTATCGGTCATCTGCACTGAGCTTTTGATTTTTCTCTACATTGCAAGCCAAGAGGGCAGGAGTAGGATATTCCCTTCCTCTCAGTTCCCTGAGGATACTTACGAGGATAAGTTTTTTTTGCATTACCTCACCCATGAGCTTGGGAAGCCTGAAGACAGGTAGAGATTTAGCAAGCCTAGAGCAAATAAGGACATATGAATCCCAAGCTGTATGCCAATACTTTCCTGTGTATTCATGTGCTCAGGAGTTAATGGCTGGAAGAATTCTGAAGAAGGATGGGAATAGATGGATGTCTCTCTGTACTACTGTTGTAGCCTTAGAATTGTGTTGGATATTTTTTTCTCCTTGTCATAATTGTTCAGTGTATAAATACATACCTAAAAACAAGTCCAGAGTAACACAATTTCTTCAAGATGTTGTCTTGTTAGTTGGTGTAGCTGAGTAATTTCATGAAAGCTGTGCTCTCTTTGCCACAAAAAACTTTAAATCTGTATGTACTGCTTAGTGAATACTTAAAACTGGTGAGGAATTTATCAGATAGCTCTGGTAACTTCATTTAAGAAGTTGTTCAATTTGTGCACATAGGGTAGGTGGTAACAGCTGAAGTAAAAATAGCTGAAGTCCAGAAAAGCTGTTTTCCCCACTGCCAGTTGTACATAGGGGAGAAAATGCAGAGGGAAAAATTAGGATAAAAGGATAGTTGAATAATTTTGAAACCAGGTAAGAAAAATAAAGTATTATTTCAGTGAGTGGAGAAGCAATCTTTTTTAAGTCACCTGAGTAGTATGATTTAAGCTATAAATTTTCTTGATTTGTAATAAAAAATAATTATATAATTTCTGCTTTCATTCCTTCATCTTGCATATTCTTCCATCTTCATAGCGGTAATGGGAATTTTCTGTCCACTGTATATGCTTGCAAAATTCAAAGGTATTAGAAAAGGATTAGGAAGGCGAAGACAAATTTTGACTGCTTCTCATTCTCATACAAATATTTTAAATGTTTCTTAAATACAGTGTTTTAAACTAATCTTTAATGTAAAATTGCAGATTTAAATCTGTTTAATGCAATGTATTACAATATTGTGATGGCTTTAAAAACAGATGGCTTTTGAAGTGGGAAATACAATTCTTAAGGTTCTCTGAGGTTAGGTAAAAGTAACCATTCCTCAGTGAGTGTTCTTATAAAATCATTAAACTCCTCCATTTAGTCACTCAGGGCAGTTACTAATGACTAGACTCTTATCTGCCTTGTCACCAGTGATCACAAAACTTCAGTCTGCAAAGATAACAGCTATTGACAGTGGTAGGAATGTGTCCTGATGTTCCCTTTAAGTGTGACCAGCTTCTGACTGTTTTATTACCTTTCATGTGTACAACATGAAAAACACTTGCTGTTCTCCTTCACAAATGTCATTATCCCATCTCCTCTAAAGTGGTTGGAGTATTATAATCAATAAAACATACTGAGGTTCTAGTGCAAATTGTTTGACTATAAAAACAAATTAATGTAAGAAGTTTTAAGGTTTTGTAATATTTATGATAAACTGTTATCTGATTTTGGTAGCCATGGGATTATACATCTAGCATATCCCAGGTGCTACAGCAGTGTATTATTATTTGTGGAACATTAGCTCCAAATTGTTGACTTTCAAATATTAGCATGTTGTAATTCTGAAAACAAAATGCTTGAAACATTATTAGTATTCACAGCCTTGACTTGGTTTTGGTTAAGTGGGTTTATCTGAACAAATAGTATGTTGAAAGAAGGAAAACTCAAATGACTGGCTTGATCTCTCATGAGGAGTTCTGTGGAGGCAGAATCCATGTGAATTCGCTGGGGTTCTCTGCTCTTGTAAAGATGTGCTCCATTGCTCACTGCAGGGTTCATTTTGTTTTGTGATTTTCAGAACCTCTTTTCTTTTTAAATGGACTTTTAATGGATCTTTTACCTTTTTTTTTCCCAAGGAAATTGTTGTAAAAGTGACTGTTTCAGTGAAGAGCTATGAAAAGAGGATTTGATTATGGAAGAGATTGATTGAACAGCCATTGTTTTGTATACAAGTACAGTTAATAAAATATTGCTTTCATGTTGTATAGTATTCATTGAATTGCTGCTTTTCTTCTCCTAGCAGTTTACAGAAATGTCCATTTTAATATACAGTGCCTCTAAGAAGCGAGTTAATTTTTAAATTAGGTGGCTATTTGTATCCCTCTAACTTCCAAATGCAGCACAGCTCTGTGAGCAAGTCAGGCATGGAACTGTACTGTGGCTGTATTGAAGTACACCACTTCTGAAGTGGAGTAATAAGTGGATGAATTATTGTTCTTTTATCTCAACTCCATCTCTTTATGTATAGTTTTCATTTTTCTTGAGCAGTGTTACAGGGCTGGGGACAGAGTGTGTGAGAAACAGCTGTCTGGTGTTTGGGGTGCAGCCCCCCTTGCAGCCATGTGAGAAATGTTCAGTGGGTAGGTGTTCTTTTTGAAATCAGGTGTATGGGGTTTTAATCGGCACCATTTTCTTTTGCAAGAAGCAGTGACTGGAACCTGCTGATAAAGCTTTTGCTTTGAGGCACAGATCCCAGAGTTCTTAAAGCCGTTTCCTGCCTTAATAAGTGAAACTAATTTTTGATGTATAACATTTATAAGCCTGTGAAACTGATAGGGCAGCTTCAGTATTTAGAAAAATGAAGCCAAAAATAAACAGATGATGAGTACAGACGGTAAAAACATGTCCTAAAAAGCAAAGGAATGTCAAAATGATGCTGTCAATATCGTATCGTTGTGACACAGTGAGAAAAGGTTTTTTAAAATCAGATTCATTTAAAATCAGTGATGACTTAGGCAATATGCATAATCTAGCAGCTGTCAGTGCATCATGGAATTTTACATTCTAAAAACCTAAATGATACCACTTTCAGGTTTTGGGTCTTCAGGTTTCCAAGTGGTACTTGTTGCAGGTTCTTTAAGGGACACGTTACTGCCTTGCATTAAATGAGGCTTTGGGCAATATAGTATTTGTTGTTTTCTTTGCTTTGACAAATACACACAAATGCTGATTTTAAAACAAAGCTTATCAATCCAAGAGTATTAAAGGTTTTGAAGTGAGAATTAGAACTTTGATACCTCCTGCATGAGGCTGTATTTACTGGTGACTGGATGGGTGAGTTCATATGTAGCTTTGGAGACTGGCTGGTGTGTTCCCCCTTTTTTTGTTGGCATTTGCATTTCTATTATAAAAATGAATTGTATGTATAACTCTGCTGAGTATTTTGTCTAATCTCTGGGCACACCTCACCACCAGGTATTACACCTTTTTCTCCTGTTGTCAGTCATCAGGGTAGCAGATCTCTACCTGTGGCATCCTTGGCCATCCCCACAGCACATTCTCATGTGGGGTATTTTGCTTCCCTGAGAGGTCTGGTGATCCTGAAGTTCTTGATTTCATTATTTTATATTTGAGTGAAGCTTTTACTGAAAAAAATACGCCATCTCTGCATTATGTTGCAGAGAATAATTTAGGCCTTCAGTAGCTCTGCTCCTTCAGCTTCTGGCTGGAGCACCTCAGTGCTGTGATACAATTACAGTGTCCAGTATCAACGGTGCTTTGATAAATGTGCTGAGCAACAACATGATGCAGGTGGGTCTTACTCCTTAATTCACTGTAGATCTTCAGGCACAGTTAGACTACTGAATTATTTCTTTCATACCTGCAGTACAGTACTGTTAGTATTAAATAACTGAGCAATTCATTGCAGTGTGCATAGTACAATATGCACAGTGTTTATTATTGTAATCCAGCTGCTGCCCTTTTTCATATTACAGGGCTTCCAGCATTGGCAGAATCCTTCACATTTTATAGTTGTGCTTTTCAGATGTAGACTGGCACACCTAAAGCTATTGTTTGAACATTGCATTTAAGGATGACTTACTTCACTTAAGAGATGCCAATTGAAATGTTAATGTTAATGTAGGAGTTACCCCCAAAAAATCTGAGCCTTTTAGAATGAAAGTTATTAAAAGAATAAAGTTTATGTGAATACTTATCTGGGCTGAAATGACATCGTTTTTTGGTGATGCCTTAGGGTAGGATAGCTAAGATCTAATAGTAGCAGGGACTTGGGATATGGAGCTGGGAACAGACACTTGGAATTATGTCAACGTTTTAATGCTTTGTAAAAATCTTTCTGGAATTCTATCTTGAGATGTAATTAACTTGTTCCTACTGTGTTAGTGGGAATCCACCTAGATTTTTTGAAAGAATAAATGTTGATAAATTAGAGCACTGTGACTATGCGTAGCTGGATGTGTTTATCCCTTTGAATAAGGATGGTATGTACAGATAACTGGTAATTTCACTCTTCTATAAATCAGTTTTAATTTGGGGTGGTACTTGTAAAAATTATTTTCATAGGTAAACCAGAAAATCTTAAAAGATTCCCCACCACCACACCTTAAATATATTTCCAATCTTTTTTCACCCTAGAGAAACAGGTTCTTTTCATAGTGCTTTTGTGCTCAAGTCATGGTTTGGTATCTCAAAATGCAGAATAGTGATTTCTTCTGGCTCTAATATTGTGAGAACTAATCTGACTAAAGCTCAAACTTTGTGTTTGTTGGTGGTTTTTGTGTGAGCTGCCTGGTAGGTAGGTGCCACATTGTCTAAGAACACATTAGCCTGAGGACTGTAACTTGAACACGATTAAATAATCTTGACCATATTAGAC